ATTAGTAAGTTGGTCATATCTGTACATTTAAACTCTTTTATCTTTTACATGATCATACTGTATGTCATTTTGAAATAGCCATTATTCAAAAATGCAAATCCAAATACCAATTCAAATGGACCTTTACATTTTTTGTATTGTTTTGTGCAGTTTGTGTAAGCTGCTCCTTAGGGTTGATGAGGATGATTTCATCTATCAAGTTGTTACTCCTTCGGTCAGTAAAGGAGGACAATATCAGGACTTCATTTTACTGGCCTCTAGAAGACCACCCTGCGATAGCGGGTGAGGATGACTATAGCAATTCTAGGTGTGGTATTAAAAGCTAACATCTGCTACCTTTACTTCAGTGAAAAAAAATTATTACACAGACAGTTTTTTCTTTATTAGAAATAATATGCACTAATAAACTGTGAACAATAAGACCAGGTATGAAGTAAATAAGATAAATTTGTTGCCTTTAAATAAATAATTTAGCATTACATCACTGCTCACCAGTGCATCCTTTGCAGTGAATGGGTGCTTTCAGTGAAAGGAATCCATTGGTGAGCAAGTGATGTAATGCTAAATTCTGTTTTGATAAAGAAACAAACTAATCTACATCTTGGATAGCCTAAGTGTGAGTAAATTTTCAGCAAATTTTCATTTTTTGGTGATCTAATCTTTTAAGCGCCCATAAGTTTCTCTAAAAGCATGTCCACATGTCGAAACTGCAGTTAATGTGGTTCCATCTTGTAAAACGTGTTCACATTCTTGTAAAACTTGTAATTACAAGGTCCAACTTCACCTGACCACTGCAATGGCATGTGGAAACGCATTTAAAATGGCAGTGGCCTTAGCAGTAAAATGTAGTTAAGTGGTTATTTTAATATATAAAATATAAAATATTATAATATTTCTGTTACAAGATGCAAGAATAATCTAAAAAATAACGAAGGACATACAATACAGTTTAAAGCAGCTAGCACACAGTTGAATATGTCTAATGTCCCACAAAGTTTATTAATGCATTTGCATAACAACAGTTTTTTTTTCTTCTACTGATTACTGAAATTACACAGATTTAGTGAGAATAAAAGTTACGCCTTCTTTCTTTGCGTGAACATTTGGCCGGCGTTATGCAAATCTTCCCACATCACGACGTAGATGTGGGGGCATATTAGAACGAGCTGTTTTAGGTACGCATAATTGACTCTTAACTTTTATAAAGAATATCTCTTTGGATTTGAGACTTTAGTCTTTGCAACTTTACAGATCTTCTTTATGCACCAAGAGCTTGTAAAACTCCAAAAAGAAAGGAAAAATTTAAATCGCATCATATAACCCCTTTAATAGTTTTGTCACAGAAACGCATAATTCCGAGTCTGAGGAAGTAAACAGCTTCGAGTATAATGTCACGGGTTGTCATCTAGTAATTACGACATGGCATGAATGCATCACAATTATATTTAAAATTTACATATAATGTATATTTGTTTTTTAGGGATCCATATGTAATTGCCCTAAGATCAGTTGCTCTACCCTCTCACCCACCCACAGAGGAATTCCACAGGGGTGAGGTGGTCTGTGCTGGGTTCACCATTTATGAGGTTTCAAAAAGTGTCTCGAAGGTAGGAAAATACTAAATGATGGTCACAATGTACTTCACACTGAAGTGTCTTACAGGTTTTCTGTTTTGCCCTCAGATTTCCTACTATAATCAGGCCAGTCCAGAAGTCCTGCCATACATCTCCACTGACATTGCAGGCCTCTCGTCCAGTTTCTACTCAATATTCTGTGCATGCAGGCAGTATCTACTGGACAACATAATGTGCACATCTGCATTCACCCCTTCTGCATTATAACTGGCAGCTGCTGGGCTGAACTCATCATGATGTGCTACACCTGATATTTCAGTTTATGCTTTTACATGGGCCATTTCTAATATTTTTGTAGTATTTTTAATTTCTTCCCACTTAAGTGTATTAGGGTTAAGCCAGAAATAAACTGTTTGAGTTCATATACTCAAGAGGTTGTGAGACATTGCACACGTTATGTTATCAGTTAACCTGATAAATGTGTCAAAGCAGTTGAAACACGGCACGACTGTACTGTATAGCAATCGCGTGAAGTTTTGCACTAAACACAGAGGTTGAATTTTCAATGTTGCTGCTATTGCTTTGGAAAGAAAAAGAAAAACTTGACTGCAAGTTTTAGAGAAAACAGCAAAGTAATTTGGTTAAAAAACTGGAGAGTCTGCACTCTCCAGATGTGATGTGTCTGAATGATTTGAGAATGGGGAGAAATCTGGTCAAATTCAGGCCGACCCTCTGAATTTTTGTCAACATGTTTAAAAATTATTGGGAGCACAGGAGGTTTGTAAGGTACTTGGCTCGATTTGTAAGACTGGATGGCGCAAAATAATACAATAGAAAAAAGATCTTTCTCTGGCATTTCCCTCACTGTTTGCTCAGAACAAATATATTCACTCACTGAATCTGTCTCAAGGATTATTATTGAAACTTTGAATTACATGACTATTTTCCATCCGCTCTCTGACCTTTGTAAGTAAACAGGTCGGTTTTGTATTGTTCTACATGTAAATTACCTCTTTTTATGAGACCTATTTTTAACTACTTACACTCGGGTGTTTTTGTGTAAATTTTTGCCTAAATTTGACATACCCAAATTCAAATGTTTACCCTACACACATACAATGGAGGAAATGAAAAATAAATGGTGTCATTGTATAGAAAACCCTTTGAACTACAAAATATGGTTGTAATTCTTCATAAATAACATTATATATGTTTTAAATATTACAATAAACACTAAAAAAACATAGGCGCTTTTTGATTTATTTTCAGAAGTATTTTTTTCTGAAAGTGTTATTCAGGTTCTATTTGCTCCAGCTCTCTGCAACATATTGTTTGATTCCACTAGGTGCCAAGATGTGCCAGAAAAAAATTATCTTTCTAATAACAGCATATATGTTTTAAATATTACAATAAACACTAAAAAAAACATAGGCGCTTTTTGATTTATTTTCAGAAGTTTTTTTCTGAAAGTGTTATTCAGGTTCTATTTGCTCCAGCTCTCTGCAACATATTGTTTGATTCCACTAGGTGCCAAGATGTGCCAGAAAAAAATTATCTTTCTAATAACAGCTTCTAAACGAGTTATTGAATTATAACCAAAGGGAGTAAAATTGTCCCTTTTTTGCGTCTAAAAGTGTCTTTGTGAGTTTCCTTTGCAAAAACAGGTTTGATAAATCATATTGCCCCCAGAATCCTATTTTACTATGTGCCATAGCACTTTTCTTGATTATTGACTGAATTATGTTTCATTTTTATGTATGTCTAAGTAGTAATATACAAAATGGCATAAGCGAATTATACCAAATATCAAAATCAGTTTTTTTCTTTCAGGAGACACAAGACTATAAATTGTAAAATCCATGTGGTTTATTACAATCTAAAACAGAATCCACATCCTCCAGCTTTATATAATTTAATTTATGTTCATAATTTTAGTCTCCTGTCCCCTACATCATCTCTGCTTCAGCATCCTACCTCTGTCAGCATCCTGCCTGCCTCAGCATCAGCATCCTGCCTGGAGATCAGACTCGAGCTGCGCCGCTAGCTCCGAGCTAACTGCTTCTGGCATGAACTCGCAGCTGCTATCTGGTCTTCAGAATGTGAAACAAAGAAATAGCTGTTTATAAACACAGCACTGTAATAATATCCATGTATATTTACTAAAACGCATCCTGTGCTGTACTTTACTGTCAATACATCGTTTATCAGATTGTTAGCTGTGCTTTTACGTTTCAAAATAATGATTCTATCAAAAAACGGAGCAAAAGCGCATTCTATAGCGATTCTATTGAAGATCATTCGATCACACAATGAAATAATATACACAGTCAAATTCCTGAGAATGAGAGCTTTCTTGGGATATATGACTTGACTGTTTTGTGAAAAATATAAAAAATACACATTCTTCGGAAAAATTATTCGCAAGCATTAGGCAGAAATTCGTGTGTGGGTCGAATACATTTCTAAGCTTAATTTTACTGCTTTTTTATCATAAAACCAAAAGTAATGGTATTCTTTGTAAAGAAGACTCTAAGCTTTCAAATGATACCATATATGGGCTGATACCATATAAGGAAGGCTTTGCAAATGAAGCATAAACATTTTTTACTATCCGGTTCGCGGAGTTTAAGTAGTTTAAGCAAGTCAAGTTTATTTATATAGCACATTTCATACACAATGGCAATTCAAAGCGCTTTCCATAGAAATAATAAAAAAACAGTACTCATTAAAAGTACATAAATAAAAATAATACAAATCTGAAAAATCGATAAATTATATAAATGCTAAAATGTACAGTGCAGAAACAGAGTAATCCTTGTTGACATGTGAGTTTTTTTTTAAATTCACCCCTTGTGCTCTAACAGCCATTTTGCAAAGCCACTGTTACAGTGCAACAGGTTCACATAACATCATGCTGAAATATCTTTAAAAATAAACCTAATTTCTAACACTGGGATCCATAATAATATTTACATATTACACCAAAACATTATTTGTCACTTAAAAAAAAAAAAAAAAATTGAATACTAAAATGTTTTTCTTTGCTTTGTCCTGTCTTATAGCAGTATTATTTTTGGTGCAGGGATGTATAGAAAATGACAGTTTTATTGTGTTTACTAATTCTTTGTCATTATGATTAAACATGTAATGATTCAATTTAAAATTTGTAAAGACTGGCAACTGAATTTAAATAAAGTTATTGTTAAAAGTGTTAAATGCCCTACTTCTAATGTATGTATGAAAAAAATTATATAAAAAAAAAACTAATTAATAATCACAATTATTACATCTATGAAATAATTCAATTATCAAAAATCAATCTTTTTATGTACATTTTCAGGTTTACAATCTTGTCCGTGAACTACTGAAACCACAGTTTAACTGTCATTTTGCAATGTCTTTGTCAGTGCTGTATGATCTTGATTTTCAGGCTGACAGATTTGCTATATGTTCTCTGTACATATTAGGCATGTTGTAGAAGCTCTGCTGTCTGTTCTGTGCTCTGATAGCCTTTAAGCTTGCAGTCCAAGTATTGAGGCCTCTGTCCTCTGCCCGATGCTCCAGAGTCATTGAGAAGCGTGATTGTGCATGGAGAAGGCTTCTACATCCAGTCACAGTCCTGTACAGGGTCTCAGCATGCAGCTGCAGTGAAACATCTTGCCATGCCCCCTGGAAGAGCTGCACCATGTCCACCACCAACTCTGGTTTGTAGCCTTCATCAAGAACCTCTTTAGGCCAACCTGGAGCCAAGGTCACATATGGAAAGATTTGATCAATGGTTCTCAAGAATTCCGCTCCTGTCACATAGTCTTGAATATAGAAAGCTCCGTGTGCTATGTCCATATTGACCCAGGTGGGGTGGTGCAGCAGGTCTCTGTCATATGCCTGACGGAGGAGCTCCAATGTGAGGCTCAGCTGACTCTGGGACTTTATCCTTAGGTAGATTCCCCACGACTTCTTGGAGGCAAGAATCAGCTCCAGGCAGTCCTGTAGATGCAGTTCAGGCTGGGATCCCTGAATGACGGGAATGTTTGGTTGACCTACACTAGATATTACTGGGATCACCAGCATTCCCCCTTGGCTGTCTGCAAAAAATACTTGCATTACTATTGATCAAGATCTATGCATTTTCACATTATCACAGCTGTTAAAATCACACCTTCGAGCAGATATAGCAAATAATCTTTATTGGTCACTGTGTCCCACTGGATGTTGAGTCCATCACGGTTCATCGGCCTGAAATAGTCAATTATGTCCCCACCTGGATAGAATCTTCTGGGTCTGTTTCTCAGCTCTGAGAAAAGAAGATGCCTGTGTTACTGATATAAACAATTAGAGATAATTTAAAATTATGACCGAAACTGAAAAACAATTAAAAAAAGGAACAAAATAAGAAATTCTGACAATTATTTTCATGTTATGAGCTATAACCGATAAATAAAAACCTATGCTATTCTGTTTAAATAAATAAAAAATAAAGTCAATAATTTGAAATGTTTCATGTTAATTTAGGCATAACAACATTACAATGTACAGTGTTAAAAATGTATATACATTTTAAACATTTGCTAAAGATTACAGAAGTCATTCTAAAACCAAGTAGCTTTCTGTTGATCAGTACAGCGAATTTGCATGAAAAACAATGCATGAAAAAGACAATGCAAAATCTACATGGGAATTGGTCTTCCTTTATGCGAAGAAGAATCATTTTGGGTTAATAAAATAAACTTTTGTTGAGCAGTTGTACAATTACATGTCCAATATCAAACAAAACCTCTAAAAAAAAACTCTAATAAGGCAGATAACCAATATTGTATACTTTTTTGCCCCACTGTACATATTAATTGCATTCCAGACCCCGTTTTGACAAGATTTTTCAGGGCCTGTTTCTTCACGTTACACAGTTACGCCAGTAGGTGGAGATAAGTGATCGTCCATATGAGTGACCATTTATTAAACCATTCATTCCCTCAATTTGTTTAATCACAGTAATTCATTCAGGAATGAAACAACTGCCTGTTTTAATAAGCGAGTCCCTGTTTTTTTTTTTTTTTCATTTAACTCAACTGTTTTATTCAGGAATGAATCACAACTACCCCAGCTAACAATTTTTGGTTCCCAAAACGTTCTGGGAATAATCATTTTTTATTATTAAAATAAAATAAAAAAAATAACTTTTTCATGAATATTATGGGTACTGTAGGTTTGCTTTCAGTTTTCGGACTAAAAAACAAACAAACAAACAAACAAACAAAAAACAACAAAAAAACCACCACCACAACAACAACAACATTCTGAAAAGAACCTACAGACAACATTCCTAGAATGTTATTGTTTCCCAAAAATAACCAAATGTAAATCATAAGAGAACATTAGGTGAACTTTCTGAGTTTTCTGAGACTGTGCATTGTTTTATGTAAAATGACCTTTGGTGGAGAAAAATATATGTTTTTTTTTTTTTTCATTTAACTCAACTGTTTTATTCAGGAATGAATCACAACTACCCCAGCTAACTATTTTTGGTTCCCAAAACGTTCTGGGAATAATCATTTTTTATTATTAAAATAAAATCTAAAAAATAACTTTTTCATGAATATTATGGGTACTGTAGGTTTGCTTTCAGTTTTCGGACTAAAAAACAAACAAACAAACAAACAAAAAACAACAAAAAAACCACCACCACAACAACAACAACATTCTGAAAAGAACCTACAGACAACATTCCTAGAATGTTATTGTTTCCCAAAAATAACTAAATGTAAATCATAAGAGAACATTAGGTGAACTTTCTGAGTTTTCTGAGACATTGCATTGTTTTATGTAAAATGACCTTTGGTGGAGAAAAATATACATATACATAACTGGAAATATTTGGTCTATAATGTAAGTTACTCAACTTCTAGTTTGAATAACTCTTGTACAAAAGCAATGCACAGCATCATACTTGCAGTGCTGCTTGGTCTAAATACCAGAACAGCCTGTTCTCTTTACCTTTTACTGTAACTACACATAAGCATCAACCCCGTCCACGGTTGACTCGTGTCTTTACCAACTGCTCAAGTGAGGATTTTACTGCATTATATTTCAAACTACGTGCCAATCAGGACATGTACTCATCTTTAAGCTATCTGGATGCTGATGAACATTTAAACTTTTTTAATTCCAACTGTTGTTGCTCCTCTTAAGGGGAAAAAACATAAGCACAACTCTAAGCCTTGGCTCAGACAGATCTGTAGAAGGGCTGAACGTAAGTGGAATAAGGATAGATTCTCCTATGGAGTCCTAAAGGACTCCTTTTCTGCATTTCAGTGAGCTGCCAATGCTTCCCAGCATAAATATCTCTCAGAGTTGATTGTCCCCTTGATGTCCCCCTTTTCTCCTCTACATGGTCTGTCTTTGAGCACCTTGGACTCCCTTAATGAGATTGTTGCAAGTTTAAAACATACTAGCTGCCCTCAGGATGTGATTCCCACACATTTTCTTAAGCAAGTTTTTCAAGCTATCAGCTAATATTTCAAACATTTTTGAAAAAGCTGTCCTAAGCCAATGTCTGTCTTTTTTTGAAGGATAACTATATACATGAGAAATTTCAGTCTGGTTTTAAAGCCAGTCACAGCACCGAATCGGCCCTCTTATAATTCTACCTGGCAATCTATGGCTTTGGTCTTGCTAGACCTTAGCTCTGCATTTGACTTGGTCGATCACAATATTCTCTTATCATGTCTAGAAGCATGTGTGGGCCTTTGGGGTATGGTGCTATAATGGTCTGCCTCAAGCACCATTCCTCCTCTGATATACATTTAAGTTCTGGTGTTCCTCAGGGCTCTATTCTTGGCCTGGAAATGTTCAATCTCTACATGCTCCCTTTGGGTTCTATTTTATCTAGATATGGTGTATCTTTTCATCTGTATGCTGATGACACACACATTTATCTGCCCATAAAGCGTGACGATAAGCTTGCCTTAAAGCCTATATTAGACTGCTTGGACAAACTAAAACTTTGGCTCACTAGTAATTTCTAAAGTTTTAATGCGAGTAAGACTGAAATGATCTTGTTTGGTTCAAATGATCGCAGCATTCATGACTTTGATCTTGATACTCTGTTACCATACAGTACCACCTGTGTTCAGAATCTGGGGGTTTTGCTTGATAACAGTCTTAAATTTGAGAAGCAGATATGTGCTGTGGTTAGGTCTTGTTTCAATCATCTTCATCTTTTAGCAAAGGTTAAGCCCTTTTTGTCTGCTAAGAACTTTGAAACTGTCTTGTACAGGGGTGTCATGCACTCGATTTTACTGCATTATATTTCAAACTACGTGCCAATCAGGACATGTACTCATCTTTAAGCTATCTGGATGCTGATGAACATTTAAACTTTTTTAATTCCAACTGTTCTAATATTTAAAATGTTGTTGCTCCTCTCAAGGGGAAAAAACATAAGCACAACTCTAAGCCTTGGCTCAGACAGATCTGTAGAAGGGCTGAACGTAAGTGGAATAAGGATAGATTCTCCTATGGAGTCCTAAAGGACTCCTTTTCTGCATTTCAGTGAGCTGCCAATGCTTCCCAGCATAAATATCTCTCAGAGTTGATTGTCCCCTTGATGTCCCCCTTTTCTCCTCTACATGGTCTGTCTTTGAGCACCTTGGACTCCCTTAATGAGATTGTTGCAAGTTTAAAACATACTAGCTGCCCTCAGGATGTGATTCCCACACATTTTCTTAAGCAAATGTGGGGGGGGGGGGGGCACTTATGTTTTATTTATTTTTTCCTTTTTATTCGAAACATCCCCAAACGCATTAACTATATAATAATTAATTTATGCATTTAGCAGATGCTTTAAAAGCGACTTACAGTGCATTCAGGCTATACATTTTTTACCAGTATGTGTGTTCCCTGAGAATTGAACCCACGCCCTTTAGTGTTGCTAATGCAATGCTCTACCACCGAGCCACAGGAACATGACACATCTATCATAAAATATCTTCATTCTCACCTTATAGATTATGTTGCTCTATAGTGGGCGATGGTTAAAGTAACCTAATAATGTAATCTATTAACTATGCATAAAAAGATGATCTTACTTACTTAATTAACAGATATGGATGTCATGCCATAACATATTTTAATATGACTGAGTTTATATTTAATGTGAATTTAACATTGAAAGTTAATGTGAATAAAAACATTGCAAGTTAGGCTACTTATCAGAACACTTTCATTGTACAGAAAGAGAGCAAAGAACATTTACATTATCGAAGAACATTTTCACTGACAGTCTAGTTCAAGCACTCTCAAAAACTCCCATTAAAACCACTGAAGCTGTTTTCACTATGAAATTAAGATCTTTACAGATTCGTACACATATTTGCACTTCGTTGTTTCTGACAAGAGAATTCGCCAGAAAGAGGTATACATTCAGCGAGCGAGTGAAGAAAAAACCGGCATTTGAGCGATTACTCATCTGAACACCTCTGATTGGTCATTGCATTCATAAGCTCAACAGCATCGTGTGTGATTGGTTAATACGTAGTGCTCTAAAAATGCGTCTGTATCTGGCTCAGTGCCAGCCAGCGAACGCAGATTTGAATTTAGCAGCTGATGATATGACGCACTGAACGTTATAATCACGCCGGTGTGATTGTATTAAATATAGAAAATATTAATCGGCTATTTTTTGTCCTTTGGAAGCTGCATTCAAAATCCACTTGGCTCAAAAATCTGAGGGGGCACGTGCCTCCTCACTTTGAATGGGCATGACGCCTCTGGTCCTGTATGCATTTGTACGATCCCAATTAGACTACTTTAACTCTATGTATATTGGTGCCCCTCAGACATGTCACTTCTGTGTTCTACTGTACAGACGTGAATTTACATTTCCTTCAGCCTGAGGCTTTTGGTGTGAAAGTGCTTTTACATTTGCCATAACTTTTTATATTAAAAGCAAACAAGCAAGCCCAGCCTAGATTTAAAAAGTAACGCAAAAGTAACGTAACACATTACATTCAATAAAAAGTAACTAAGTACCGTAATTAGTTACTTTTTAAGGAAGTAACGCAATATTGTAATGTATTACTTTTAAAAGTAACTTTCCCCAACACTGGTCACATGATTGCAGTTAGTTCAAAATGCTACGCAGCTAGGTGAACACATCACACCTGTTCTGATTTCACTTCATTGGCTACTGCTCAAATACAGAATTGACAAAGTTTTGTTATTTGTTTTTAAGTCTTTGCGGAACCAGGCACCACAGTACCTATATGAACTACTACATCCGCCCTCACAAGCAAGATTGCTCAGATCTGGGGACTCTGATCTACAATATGTTCCTAGAACTAGACTTAAAAACAGGGGTGATTGCACTTTTGCGGTCATCGGTCCCAAGTTATGGAATAGCCTTCCAGCTTCAGATCCGCCCAAACCCTGTCAATTTTTAAATCCACCTTGAAGACTTACTTTTCTCAATGGTCTTCAATATCCCTTGATTTTCATCAGCATTTAACATCCTTTGATTCAAACTTTTCCCTCTATTCTACCTTATTTCATAGGCTTTTCATTTTTTATCATACTTTTATTGTTCCTATATCGTTTAAACATTTTATGTGTTTTTTACTGTCTGTTTTCCTTTAGCTTTTGTAAAGCACTTTGGTTAACACCAGTTGTTTTTAAATGTGCTATACAAATAAACTTGTATTGTATTGTATTAAGAGCCACTTGCCTAAATTGAAGAGTATCCATGTTTTACTATTAAAATGAGATATTTACTATGATCTTACTCTGAAGCATTGATTACTGGCCAGAAAACAGGGACATTAGGACCAGGAAGAATATCTGCATTGATCCACACCGGGCGGTTGATACCCGTTTGGTTTTTTACTCTCAACAGATCCAGTGAGGGTTCCACAGCATTGATACTTTTAAAATCCAGCTTTATCCCTAAAGAAGAATAGACACAAAGCAATGCACATTATGTCTTCTGTATATAAAAGCAGATGTTCCAGGTACAGTTCCAGGTTGTTCACCTTTCTTTGATTTGAGTACAGCTTCCAGCCACACCTCCAGAGTGTTGTCACTGTATATGTCCGGTGGATGGGCCATGATGGGAATATTGGTTTCATTAGCTGTGTTATAACCTTTCACATTTACATCAGCTTCTAGGATCATGACATCACCTGTAATATATTCAGTTAAATTAGTTTTTTAAGGTATTTCCTTACATAACATATGTAATATTATATTATATCATATGTTATCAGTGCTCTTAACATAAATGGTGTGATCTCTTATCTAACACAATGCATATCACAGGAATAAGTTTATTATGCAACTGGTAATTGAATTGATTAAAGCGCAACCTTGAACAGTTAATCTTGTTAAGATAAAACAAAAGATCACTCTTACTGTTCAAGGCCTTGTTCATCTCAGATTTATTGTTGGCTGCGTGATACCATGTTGCATAAAGACCATCTTTCTCCTGAATTTCTCCAATTTGGAGAAGAAATTCAAGCATGTCTCCATCAGATGGGAAAGGCTCCATTTCCATGTCGACTGAAGCATCTGAGATCACGCACAAGCAGTATTCAAATTGAACAACATTCAACAGGACAAATCAGTATTGATTTTTTAAATTTACTCTGACATTCATAATGCATACAATTTCATAATATGTACCTGATCAATGGTGATGCATATGGAAAATTCTGAACTCTATATCAAGCAATATTTAATGGCATACAGTTTATTGTAACATATTCAAAAACACTGAAGAGTCTCCATACCTGATCTTGTGATCACAAACACTGAAGTTAAGGTAATGATGAGAAGAAGTGCAATCAGTCCGATAACAACACATAACATCATGAACTTCTCTCTTGTAAAGATCCCCAGAAATGTTTTTGGTTCTTTTCTTTCTCCTTCCTCCTCACTGTTGCAGTTCTTTTCATCTTTTTGTTCCATTGTTTTACAATATCAGCTATCTAAATGTTCACTCAGCGAGTCATTGCATCAATGTGCAGCTGCACAATGACTCTGTTTTCTCTGAGGTCCAAACTGCCTTTTATCTGCAGACCATAAAATGGTGTGATAAGCCGCACTTTGTATTCTTGCTGTCTTGTTTGCACCTCTATGCAAATATTAAATATATCTGTATAACAGAAGACAAGGAGATTTTTCATATCTGTGGCCTTGCAGACAAAAATACTTGCTTGTATGATACATATTATATTACATATGTACTGTACATTTAACAAAAACATATTCTTTAAAATGGTGCAAATAAAAGATTATTTGTGTGTTTAAAAAGAAAATGCTACCTTTCTACTTTAAAATTTGAGGTTTACCTCAATGTTACTTGCTGTTTCTTTTTTTAACTATTTGCGAAATGTACTAGTAATTTCTGAGTGAAAATTGTTTAAAAAAGTAAATCCTACACCATTTCTTTTTGTGTATAATAAAATGCAAAAAACTTAAAACAAAACTACACTTCATTAAAAGTCCATATTTATCAGACATTTATCAAATGAACTAAGCTGTGCATGTTATCTGTTACATTATCTGTAAGGAATAACATTATCGGATTTTCTTATCGAGTGATGTTTGTGGCCTGTTGGTTGTTTTTTCGGGTAAAATGAGTCTTAACTTCCTCTTTGGTGAGCCCTCAGCTGAAGATACATATACTTGGATGACAGGTGCACCAGAGCTAATCAGGTCTGAACTGCTGGACTGATCCACCACATCCGGTGGAGCAGTGGATTCACTCACAGGAAGTGCAATATTTGGATTGGATAGCTGCTGAGTGTCACTGGAATCCAGATCATCGGGGTGAGATGGAGCTGTAAGACAGTTGTGATCATCTGGAAGAGCTAAATTGAGTGTTAGTGGGAGTGTTGATGCCATTTGAGTTTCTCCCTGAACAGAAATATAATTTTGACCTTTTACTATAGTGACATCATCTGTATCCTTAGACAGGGACTTTGATTCCTTGTTTCCTTTTTTAGCACGCTTCTTTTTAGAGATATCTTGCATAGTATCATTTTCCTCTTCCTCACTTCCTGAGCATTCAATGTTATCTTTAGATTTTTTGCTAGTTTTATTTAATTTTAATTTATATTTTTTGTCCTTTTTGCTTTTCAGTTTTTCCTTCTTACCCTTTTTGTACATCTTGTCTTCTTCAATATCTTCTTTGTCAGTGGACTTTGGATGAACTCTGCTTTTTTGAAGGGGGTTTAAATTTAATTTAACTTTCAGTGTCCTCTTTGCATGTCCTCTGGTTATCTGGGTTTTTAAGTGTCCTTGTGTGCTACTCTTAGTCTTACCCAGCTTTCGGTGGGTTTTCTGTGCAGATGTTTTAAAGTCCTTCATCCTGCTTTCCTTTTTGTGTCTGTCAGCCATTGTGGTGAGGACATGTTCCTCAGTCCCAGCTAGATCAAAAGTAACACTTCTTTGAGAATCTAATTTAAAGCCCAGCTCAGTAGCTTGACTTTCACCATGTCTCCCAGCATTTGACTTGTCATAACCCAAGTTGTCTTTGTATAGCATGGCATTGTACATCTGTGCTCCGTTTTGAACTGTGTTCTGTGAGTGAGTTGTAAACGTAAAGTTCTGGTTATTACTCCCAGCTTGTCTGTAATCATAAGTCTGATGACAGTGCAGACAACTGATGGTTTGGTAAATCGGTTGAGCACCGTCCTCAGCCTGGTGCTTTAAAAGTGAGGGATTTCCTTGAGTTATTTCATCGTGGATTTGGTCTGGGGGTCTGAATGTGCCTCTCTGGAGGGCAGAGAAATTATTACTGAGGGCCAGCTGCCGTATTCTGACAGCTGAGATGTCGTTTGAACCCCCACTATGTTGGGAAGAAGTACCCTGACTGCCCAGATAGTTGTTTGGAATGCCTGCCAAACTCTCTCTCTCATTATGTCTTTGTCCACCTATATCTGTGAATAAAACAGACATTTGAAATTTAAATTAATTAAATTAGTAATTTAAAACAGACATTTGAGAATGTGCTTAGAGGTATAAAACATCTAAATAAACTAGATGTCACCACTGGAATTGAAGAAATGGAAGGTGCTGCTATGCAGTTAACAGTTGGTTGTTTACAAAAGATTTGTTTTAAATACTGATATAGATTTATATATAATAACTTATGTATGCAATATGGATTTGTATATGTAATAAGTTACAATCGACTATAACTATACTATAACAAAAACAAAAATTAAAAATAAATTAAAACTAAACAGAAATATAAAAGAAAATAATAAAAATTATAAAATATGACAAAAATATTTATTTATAAATATAATAGTTTATAAATAACACTGAAGTAATAAATACTGGTTGGAAATCATGAGATTAAACACTCATTTGTTCTATTATATGTTTTCTTCCTAAAATAATATTCTTAATGGTAGATTATAAAATATATAATTTTATTTAAATGTATCATTATTCATATTATAATATTAAATGTTTTTCCAGATAATAATTTTATGCGTATTTGTAATATTTTCAAAAAAATACAGCAAGAAGGTCATCATATTTGTCGGTCTATGGCAGTTAAAAGGTTTGAAAACCTCTTCCTTTGCAGACACTTTTAAAACATTTCAAAGCAAATGGTGTGCTTGCTAGTTTACCTTTGATCCTCTGTTGCAACACAGAATTTTGATAATTCCCTTCCTGTTGGCGATTAGTCAGCTGTTCACCTACATGAGTAGCTTTCTGCAGGACAATCTCTCTTTTGTGCTTTCCTACCGCATGTGCTGTAGAGCTGCACTTGTGACAGGTGAAATGACTCTCCAGCATGTCTGATCCCAGATAAGGAGAGTCTTCTCTGTCCCAGGGCTGATGGGATTTGTAGTTGCTGTTGTACAGTGCATGGCACTTAGTTAGAGTGTCCCTTCCTTGGCAGAAATTCCACTGAGTTGATTCCAGGCCGGACTCCCCAACTCTATTTTCCTCCTGCACCAGTTCAAATTTCTTACTGAGTTTGTGGTATGCAATGACAATCATTCCCAGGGTGATCCCAACACCACCTACAATTAAAGCATAATATATATATAAATATATATAAACATACACATACTGTATATATATATTTTATTAATTTAATAATTTAATAATTGTATTAATAAATTGTCATGGGGTGTCGATCTAATCAGCTATCAAGTAAAAATAAAATATTTTCATACAACTTGAATATGTGAGCATACACATCTTATTTATTATTTTCAAAAATGTTTTAAAATAACTTTTCATGGAAAAAAGTAATCTATGAAAAATAGCCTAAATTATTAATTTATAAATACCATTATGTTTCTGTGCAGTCACACCACATAACATTTTACAACCTAAACAAACCAATCTTATCTTGTCTTAAAATGATCTGATATTTTAATAGAGTAATTGTCCTCAATGCACAATCATGAGCATATAATTTCTTCTTTTTTGTTTCCGCACATCAGTAACACCCCATGAATTTTTGGAATAAACAACAACAAAAACAATCAAAACAAAAACAATTAAATGTCATTCTTTTAATCACCTTGACTTATATGTATGCTTTACTTTTGAATAAATAAAAGGAATAGTTCACTCAAAAATGAAAGTTGAAAATTTACCTTAGGCCCTCAGGCTATAAAACATAGATTGGTTTCTTTATCTGAACATTATGGACTATGGACATGTGTTTTGGCCAGAAGTGATAGTTTAAAGTTAAAACCCCTTAAAGATGGATTTGCTTCTTACAGAGACGCAGCTTTTCATTTCACAAGACACTAATTGATGGACTGGAGCCATGTGGATTACTTGTGGATTATTGTGATGTTTTTATCGGCTGTTTGGACATTCACTGCAGAGAATCCATTGTTGAGCAAGTTGCTAAATTTCTCTAAATCTGTTCCAATAAAAAAACAAACTTATCTACATCTTGGGTGTAAATGTTTAGCAAATTTTTTGGTGAACTACTTCTTTAAGACTGTATAGTCATGTCCTCAGCCTTATAATGAAAATAGGTAGAAAGTTTTGGTATCAAGCATTTGCATTAGATACTCACCCAAAAATGAAAATACAATGGCAATAGCAACATTTCTAATATATTGCTCAGAAGTGATATATCTTTTAGCCACAATCTCCACTGTTATATTCCTGTTTGGTGGGACACAGTTAGCATCTGTCAATTCCAGCACATCTTGCACAGCTGCATTATCTGTATTCACACACACCATCCTCTGCCCATTGTACAAGACTTTTTCAGGAGCCTGAATGTAACTTTTGAGAAATGAGGCCAGCTCTCTCAACTCACATGTACAGCTCCAGAGGTTCAAATCAAGGTTCAGCACTGAGAGCCATGACAGATAAGAGAATGCATCTGGAGCACTGCGTAGATGATTGCGGGACAGATCGAGTCTGCGGAGACGAGGAAACCCTCTGAAGCTATCACATCCTAAGTACACGATGAGGTTGTTGGACAAGTCCAATGTTTCCAGGTTCCTCAGATCAGCATGGGCAAAGGTTGTGGAGTTCAAGCAGTTGAGGAAGTTCCCCTCTAGTTGAAGTGTTTTTAAAGCTCTAGAGCTTTGGAACCAGCAGCCTTCAATGTCATTCAAATTGTTGTTACCAAGCTGGAGAGTCTCCAGTCTGTGGAGCCATGAAAATGTGGAGCTGTCCAGGGATTGGCTGGAGATGCAGTTATGGTCCAGCAACAGCGTAGTTAGAAAAGAGAGGTTCTGAAAGGCATTCCCCATGATGCTAGAAATGACGTTGTTGCTGAGTGCCAGAACACTCATGTTGGATAATTCAGAGAGGACCATGTTGTCCACAGAATCAATGAGTCCATCAGTGAGCATCAAAGCTTTAATAGAGCCTGGTGCATCTAAATATGATGAATAAAAACAGTTATATTACCAAATACTTCAGGAAATTCTAATCGATAATTCAGAGAGGACCATGTTGTCCAC